ATAGTGAAACAGAGTGGAGCTTCTTGCAGTCTGAAGTGATGGATTCACACAAAAATTATCCATCATTTTGCAAAACTAAAACAATCCCTCCAACTTCAGCTACTGTGTGTAAAATGGAAACACATCAGCAGTGACCAGTACGACACCTACATGTATATAGTCTTATATGGAAGACAAGGGAGCTACACATCCCCCCCTTCAACACTGACTTCAAAACTTCAGCGATAAGAACTTGGGGGAGGAACAGAGGACAGAATATGGTGTGGTATTTTTGGAAACTCTGATCCTGAGTGCCGTAACGTACCGTCAGTGTTCTCTCCAGCTTGCCGGTGACTGTGCTGAAGCAGTAGAGCACAAAGTCTTCACCCACGCAGTAGATCCACTCGCCGCGGGGCGACAGAGTGCAGCACACAAAGTCACCACCTTCCCTCTTACCGGAGCTGAAACTCCTCACGATCTGCACAACAAGAAAACAGCTTATTACCTAAAACTCCGGGTTTAGAAGAAAATCCCAAACAACTGTTAGTGATGTGGCGACATTAACTGACCTGTCCCTGCATGTTCATGATGACCACTGTGTTGGAGCGGTTGCACACGACAAAGTGCTCCGGGTTCTTGGGCAGCAGGATGACGTTATTGACTGTGATGTCAGTGCCGGCTGACGTTCCCAGAGGCTTGAAGGTGCTGGTGCACTCAGTGGTCTTCACGTTCCAGACCTGAAGCACGTTGAAGATGAGTGGGAAAGCAAGAGGCATTATGAGAAAGAAGTGGATGAATGGGGTTATTTTTAAATCAGCTGCTTCTCTTACCTTTACTGTACCGTCAGAGGAAGCGCTGATGATGTGATGGCCGTCCGGAGTGAATGTGACCTCGTTGACAAACGAGGAGTGACCGCGGAACTCCTTTAGAGTTTTACCCGACTTAAGTCCATGGATTCTTATGAAAAACAACAACAAACAAACAGAGATGGCGTCGACATAATAATTTAAGAAGGTTTACTGAAGAGCACAGTAGTTTTAATGAAGATTGGAAGAACAGTAGTCTATTCAGCCTTGTTAAATTCCTGTGATTCTGCTGACTTTGCACTATATTTTCCGATGCTGATAAAATACAGACGCTAAGATTGGATGCCACTGTTTGTGTGTTGCTGGGACACTAATCTGGGACACTAAGATTAGTGACACTAATAGAAACAAAAGTAACTATGCTATTCTTTTAAATCAACACTACATTAATGTTACAGAGGACCAAAACTATTTCTTGCCCAGCTCCAACATTAATGTTATCATTTATTAGTCATAGCCGGCAGTGCTACCGTAATCATAATGTACGTAATTACATGGCTAATGTTAACATGTGCCAGTCAGGTAAACATTCTAACTGTCTAGTACCTAAACTTGGAGCTTTATTGAGCTCTTGAAATTCCTTGTTATTACTGGTTGGTTGTTTGTTGCTACTGTTCATGTGTTCAGCTGCTAGTGGGGGGAGGGGCTTTAGTAAATCATGTTCAGAGGAGCCACCACTGCTGATTTACTGACACAAAAATGCAGCTGTTATTGTTTTTTAATGTAAGTGTATTTAATAATTCAAGACACAATTAGTATGGTCTTCTGTTGCCAATGGTAACAGTATTGTTAGCATCTAGGCACCAGCTGTTGTTAGATATGAGAACTTTAAACTGTAGCAGCCACTTGTACACTCACAGAGTGTACAGCAAAGAGAGAGCCTGAGTGGAGCTAAAAACTACGGTTCTTCTTAAACAACCAAAATCATCACGATAAAAAGCCAACTGAACTTTGGGAAAAGTGATCTTTTCACCTGCTCCCATCCACCTCCTACATGCTTGAACACAACCAGACCACACTCATGATCCCATAGCCTGCTTTGAAGTTTGGTCATCATGGACATCAGCACTAAGATCATTCCCTTTGTGACAATTAAGCAACCTTGCACGTCCTTAGTATGAGCTTTAGATTTCGAGAAATAATAGTGGCAGCCATAACCACTGTATTATCTTTATTTCACACCACAGTCGCAGTGAGAAACTAGAAGTAAGTGCATGACTGAGTTTGTGTTTGGTACACACATTGTGCATATGGGGGAAAACACCACTAGAAAAACACCACCCTAATGGCTGCACAGCCTCCTCTGCTGCTGGTAAGGATAAACGGTCAGATATTAGTTTACCTGATGGTCTGATCAAAGGAGGCACTGAGGAGCTGGCTGCTGTCCTTGCAGAAGCTGACACATGTTACTCCTTTGCTGTGGGCACGCTCGAACCTCCTCAAACACTGACCGCTCTGGATCTTCCAAACCTACACAGACACATACAGTTTGTTCTAAACTCGTGTTTTAGTAAAACAGAAAACACATGAGTGAAAGAAACTGAGGTTTTCAGTTTTCTGAGAGCTTTCATGTGTAATAATTAAAATGTCTTCTTGATAGGTTTTTATAATTTTATACCAATAGATGTGGTTATATAGCCTAGAAATGGGCTGCAAGTACAGAATTGGTGAATGAAACACAGAAGGACAATGACAGAAACTGAAGTACAGCTGGTCCTCTATACCTTAACCTTTCCATCCTGGGCTCCAGTGGCCAACATCTCTGTGTCCCGACTGAAGCCCATACACAACACAGCGTCATCCATCATCATGAAGTTATCCTGAGCCTGGTATTTCAGATCCTGCAAACACAAAAGATATATAATAATTAAAAATCACTGGCATAAACAGAGTGATATTTAAGCAGAAACTAAATCTGCCTTTCTTTTCCTTTCAACCCACCTTCCTGATTTTGCCAGTTGTGAAGTTCCAGACTTCGATGAAACCGTCCACAGAGCCAGTGACCAGATACTGACCATCAGGGGAGAATCGGGAACACTCCACGTGAGATTTCTGTCCAAACTGCACAGTGAGGAAAAACAAGTCACGTCAGAACAAGTTTAAGTCATGAACTTGAAGAAATGGCAGTAAGGCCTGGTCACAGTGAAGAAGCTGACTAATACAAATTGCCATTTTGGGATAGTGTGGGTACCTTGATGTGTCTGCTGAGCTGCGTGGGAAAGCGTTCCTCTTCTACATCTTTAACGGCAGCTTTACCTCTGAACAAGTCAATGGTCATACCGGGAGGCAGGAGACCCTGATGCTGCTGCCACTTCAGAGCCTACAGAAGGAAAAAGATGACGGGGGATGACATAAGCATTTGCATTTTATCTGAACAGAGGAACAAATTTTATTTATATAGCACCACATCACAACAAGTTGCTTTATAGTGTGTAGTTAAGACCCTACAATAACAAATCGTCGATATTATGCATGCAGAATCATAATCAAGGACAACTCTGCTTGCACATTCCTATTTTGTTTTGTAAAATTAAGAGGCAAATGAGTTTCACAAACTAGTACAACACCTGCAAATTTCCAGGTCACATACCTGTCCCAGCAGAGCCATGAGACGAGAGGGAGGCACCACGCTGACCTCTCCTGCCAGTGCCTGAGCGATGGCCGCCCGACGCTTCTCCTTACTGCTGCCATCTGGGTACGCCTGGATAGAATTTCAACAATGCGTAAGAAAGAAACATGCACATCTATTAAAAATGTACAGCACACTTTAATCTGATGTTCTTTCTGATTTAAAACCTTATTTTTCCAGATTTAAAAAAGAGAATTTATCAAAGCCTACATTCTACCGAGGAGGAAAAAAAAAAAAAAAAAAATCAGGAAAAAGTGGAAAAAATAAATAAGAGTCACTTTAAGCAATTTATCTCACCTCTCTGGGATCAAAGTAGGAGCGAGCCAGCAGGTTCTCCAAGTGGATGTATCTCTCTGGCTGGGTCTGTTTCAGCATGATCATGGGGTCGGTCTGTCTGAGCAGTGAACGAGCTGCACCCAGCTCTCTTAGTTCAATCAGCTCTAACACGACCTGGTGAGGGAATCAACACAGAGGCCCAACTTAAACAAACAAACAAGAAGATCTACAATGCTTACACTGGAAGATTTGCTATGATACAAATGCTTAGCCAAGAATGACAAGAAAACATCTGGATAAAGATAGTATTACAAGAAACACCTGAAAAAAAGCCTTTCTGACCAGAAACCATTAGAAATAAAGCTGGAGGACTTAGCCAAGCTTTGGACACCATTGAAAATGGTGTGAAAGCCCAGTTCAATGTACTATCATCATCATCCCTAACCCTAAATCTAATATTCACACTTTACTGTCAACACTTGTATACAAACAAACCCTCATCCCCCCGTATAATCCCAGATGATGATAAGATGCCAGCGTCTTCTGGACCTGTCAATCAAAACTTTATCCAGACCATACCTGTTCGTAAAGGTCTATCAAGGTCTTGTCTGGCAGCTTGAGGGACTGGATGGCTTGTAGAACAGTATCCCAGTGGCCGCTGTTGATGTCTGCCACGAAGCTCTCTATGCTGTCCACTGTGTTCAGAGACACTGTCGTCTCCTCCTGCAGAGTGGCTAGTGTCCGGTGCAGATTGTTCTCTTTTAAGTACTGCATAATCAGACGGACCACGCTGTGAAAATAGACAAACAACGTAAGACAGAAGACGGCTCAGCTCAGGTAAAACCAGCTCAGGATTTGGTGGTCAGAAACGTTCCTGATGATGCCCTACACTTTGAGGTATAGTGAGTTCAAATTCAGAATTTTCATGTCACAAGGTGGCGCTCTTTTTACCTGGTTAGGTTCTCATAGTAACTTATACCAAACATATACCATTATCTGCATTTTATATTCACTAAGTCTTCAGTACACTCTAAGAGTAAAATAGATTCTCTGGTGTGGGAATAAGTGTTTGTGCCTTACTAACAGCACGGTGCATTAATGTGGCACATAATCACTGGGACTGAAATACATTTAGACTTTGATGCAGAAAATAAATGCTTTTATGCTTGACTCTTATCTGCTGCAATGTCTGATTATACTGACACAAATGCAGCCAGTCTAAGAAGATAGATAAGAAAAACATGAGTAGGCTATTTATTGGCTATTCATCATGGAGAAGATTAAATCTGTTGAAATAATTCACTTTAATCTGGGAACAAACTAAAGTGATTTCTCTTTCATTAGTGTAGGAAAATGCCAGTACTGCATGCACTGAAAGTCCAGCACACATTTTAGAATTGAGTGAACTAATAACTTCTAAACTCAAACTATGTTCTAGATCATCATCACCATCAGCACCACCAAGGGGGTACCAGGGGGGCAAAATTTGCTGTCCTCCCCAGAGGCCCCTTTAGCAAGACTGTCCTGTGTTGGTAATACATTTTAATAAACTTTGATGGCTGGATAAAACTGTTTTGAATAAATGTGTTGCCAAGAGATTATTTTGTTTTGCAGCAGTAAATAGTTGATTGTGAAACACATGGAAATATCTGTGTGGTGTTTAAAATGTCAAAAGTCTTATTTATTTATAGGTATTTGATCCATATCAGGTTGCAGAAAAGTTAGTGCATCTCAGGGCCAACATAGAGACAGGCAAACAGTTCACACTCATACATGATCTAATACTCATTTGTCTTTCCTCAACAAGTTTTCTCTTAAAGTGAACTCCTTTCTGGGAGAGGAATCTTAAACTGCTCCTGCTCAGAAACATTAAAGAGTTGGGACGTTCCAGTTAGTCAATCAATCAATTAAAACAGATTATTATGGCTTTCAAAGTCATGTAATTCTTTTATTTCTCACCATATTTTTCAAGTATATAAATATATTTGACATATATATATGATATATTTGACAACAACATAATAAAACTGTAAATTCTGTTTTTGGTGTGCCACCCCTATATTATTATTGCCCTCAAATGGCCACCCCTATGAAAAAAAAATCCTGAGGCATCACTGTATGTTAAACTTGCTTTGGAGCACATCCTTCAGTCGTGATCAATAACTTTCCCTATTTTTTTTTTTTTATTGTTACTGTGTTTGCCATAAATTTTCATTTTAAGGAGTAAGAATCTGCGGACAGATGTGTGGTTATTTCTAAACACTATCCCTGCTTACTACCAATGTTTTCACTAGTATTTTTTCTTGCAAAAAGCCTCAGTTTACATAATTCAATTATGGATTCCTGCGAGATTTTGAAATTATGAGCACCGTTTTGAATCTAGTGTGAATCTAGTTTTGAATAAACCGCAAGTTACTGACAAAAAGTGGAGTTACTGACACTAAATGAAGCAGATTTAATATGTCAAGTAATCTGGCTACTTTAGTGAGTTGTCCAGGTTGGGTTTGTTTGAATCAGTAACATTTCCAGCTCATGTCAGAATCTACGGCGACTGGGAAGCGCACATCTTAAGCTAATGCTAATTTACTCACCTCTCTTTCAGTTTTGTGCAGTACACAGAAGCGATTAAAATATAAATGATCAATAAACAATTATTTCATATCACATAGTGTCAGTTGAAAGAGTACCTAACTCCACTTTCCAGTCATACACTACATACACTACAGCGTATGGCTGGAAGTTAGCTCGTTAGCTTAGCACAAAAACGCTACCTACCGCTACTGCAGTTTACTGCAGGATGAAGGAGGCCTCACTGCCCAAAAATGTGATCAAATATGGAGCTTTTAAAACCCAGTTTACTTTAATAATAACCCCCCTATAACAATAGTTAAGCGGAGTACTTACTCTGCAGATTCCACCTCCAGAGACATGATTATTTATGTGAAAACAGCCTCCAAGATGCACTCTTGAGTCCACAGCAGAAACAGACGCCAGGAACACACGGTTACGGCACCGGAAGAAACAGTATCAGGAGGCGGGTTTTCTTTTCCAAAATAAAAGATTCATTTGACGCTCAAAAAACATGGAGTTATTTTTTGTTGCAGTTTTTTTTTTTGGATGACAAAAATGTTCACGTTTCGACGTCTTCATAATATTCAAACTCTTAAAATAAAAACAAATAAAGACACCAAATAACTGCACTAGTTCACATTACTGTATTAAAAAAAAAAACCCTTTTCTATGTCAACTGACCACCTGTTTCCTGGCAGGCCACCCCATATTATATCATATACAAACAAACAAACAAACAAACAAACAAACAAACAAACAAAAATGCTTAATTTTTAGCTCTCCACTGTTATTAGTTTCGTCAGAAAAAGGTAAGAAGTATTTTTGTGATGAAGCTGAAGTTCAACATACATTTCTGAGAGCTTGAGTTTGGTTAAAAATTTGACAGCAAGGCCTGAACTACCATATTTGAAGGTTTATTGAAATAATAATTTCAAAGATGGGGGTTGAAATTTGTAACACAGATGAAGTATAAAAAATACTGCTCAAGCTTAAAATGCCCCTAACCTCATCACAAAACTTTAGAGTGTTTTATTTATTTCATTAATAACATTACAAAACTAAAATTGGAAAGTTTTAAGAACTTTTCCATCTGCCAGGATTTTTTTATTCAGGGAAATCACATATGGTCAGGCTGGGAATTTGGTCAACTGATATGATATAGAATGACCCAGATAAAATAAAAACAGGTATCTAATCCAGTGTTGTTCAGTGCACTTAAAACTTCCTTAGTTTGAAATTTTCACAATTATTTTTCTTTAAAACTGATAAAGTTATTAAATTAGTCTTTTATTTCGTCTCATTTAAGGCACCTGTAATTTTTTTTCAATGTTCCCTCCAAATATCCATGTTACTTTAGTTGAGTAGAACGTAATTCAAATTCACCCACTGATTCATGATTCCGCTGCAATATTCACACTTGTTGTAGATGTTCTAATTCTGAGATCAGTTATTTTTAAACTACAGGAAAGCCATAAATCCCTGGGGTAGCCCCAAAGGACAGCACAATTATTTTTCTGCTAGAAAAGATCAAATAAATTAAGATGCCTATTTAATTAATTAAGGTTGTTTGAGTGTGGATTTCCTCTTGCGTCCTTACATGGCATCAAAGCACCATTCCCAGCATTAAGGGATCTTTTCCTCATAAGCGTGTAGCGTGTGCACAGCCAATTCCCCTTTTTTGCTGATCAACAGGGGGTGCTATTTGCACAGTAATGGCATCGAGGCCCTCTTGACTTCCCTCTTTCTGCCCATGAAGGTCTTTCAAGGTTATGATGATAATAGTGCACAGTGCAGCAGCACTTCAGACTGCAGGCCTGGGTTTGATTGTTTTGGCCAATCATGACATAATCCCACTGTGAGCCCCATCCACATGGCAAATGAAATTGGCATTGAGAACACGGCAGATCCTGGTCGGTTTCATTTGCCTTTGCAGATGGAGAAATATATTGGGAAACGATGAGGGGAAGCAGACGTGATGGGGAGGGGAGGAGTGGTGTTTCCACACAATACCATAAGACCTCAGTCATCCCGAATATATTACCATAAAAGCACAAGAAAGATGTCAATTCAATTTTGCCATCTTCTGGCAGGACAAAGCACAGGCTGCTGTTTGGAGACTGCTTGCCGATGAGATAGACGCCGCCATGCTGGAAGAGTGACAGCAGCACAAAAGGCTGTAATGCAATCACTCCGTCTTCTCTGGTAAAAACAAAAGAAATTTAGTTTCTATTTATGCGAGGTGCCATTCTTGGTGTGAAAAATTGTTACCTCTTTCCAACATAATTAGAACACATTACCACCACAAAGAAACATAACCTGTCTTTGTGCTGTCGGGGAGGAAAAATTGAGTGAAAAAACATTTTTTTTTACCTGATCTGTAACTGCGTTTTGAAAGAATGTCACTGCTGGTGTAACTACACTTATCTTCTTCTTCTTCTTTTTTGTCATGCTAAAAAGGAACACAAGGACACAACAACCAAATGGTGACATTCATTCAAATAGCATTTATCTACCATTCACAGCCACTACAAACAATTCTACATATCTAGGAAAATCTTCACAAATCTTCACCGTCTATTGTTCTCATGGAAACCATTGCTGAGTCCATTCTTTAGTGCAGCTGTAAGTGAGAATAGGTAAACTCGAGAGGCAACAACAAGACAACTCTCAAAAAAGGAAGCAGACTGCTGCCTTCTCCTTATGCCTCCCCTAACTCATTTTCCTCTGTTTTTTGTCACTGCAGGTCAAGCTCCTCCAGGATGGCACATCCGTACAAGACATTGCAAGGTTTGCTGCATTTCCCAACACAGTCTTAAGAGTGTGGAGAAGACATGAGGTGAGCTGGGCAGGACTGTAGAAAGGGCAATAACCCAGCAGCAGGCCCATATCTGCTTTTTTTTTTTGCATGGGGGGCAGCAGAAGTGCTGCCAGAGCCTTAAAAATTAACCTACAGTGGACTACTCGTTATTCTGAGCAGTGTTTAGCAAAGTGCAAAGAAAAAAAACAGTGAAAGATAGAGAGCAGATGGTCATGAAGGGTTTAATGCTCAGAACGGAACAGTAATGGACCCAAAGCAGAAACATTCACAAACACTAAGAAAGGACTGGACTGTAAATACACTGAGGGCTGATTGTGAGTAGGAAACAGCAGAGGAATGAGACACAGGTCACAGGTGAAAACAAACAGCACAATAACAAAGTGGGATGTAAAACAAACATAAAGGAAGAAGGAAGCCCGATTCTACATGCAGAGACGAGAAGTCTCAATAAACATGAAGACAGAGAGAAATGAACATCCACACAGGAAATCAAATCAGGACTGAACAGACAGGGAACTAAACACAAACAACAAACTCAAAGCAGGAACTTCTTAGGAATAATCCTAGTACAGAAACCAGAATCTAGTCTGCATTCTGCAAAAACATGAAAGCTCAATATACTAGAATACACAATTGAAGCATGAACTGTAACACAGGACACCTCACAAGAAATCAAATTCATCTTAGAATAATAACAAAATGAAAACAGGAAATCCAACATTTCAAATGCCGGGATAATTGAACCCAAACTCAGAGATAATCAAAACCCTGTGACTGTGACAACAGCACAGCCGAAAAAGACATAATGATTAGTTTGAGGAAGGAGTGGAGAAAGAAGAGCACCCAGGTATCAATGCATGTCTGCATGTATCACTATGGGACTGTCTGCGATGTCGATATTACAGAGTGCTGTTAACGAGACATCAGACAGCTGCCCTACTTTCTATATTTTTACCCTGTCGTGTCGTGTGGAACTATTGGCAGGTCTTCCATAACAGCTTGTGTTGCTTTGATGGAGAATATATACAAATGAAGGCACTGCAGGTGCTGCAAGAAGAAATGATAATAATTGTCCGGTATTCTGTATGCTATGTTGGTTGTATGTATTTGTGTTCAGTGTTTTGAGACACAGGGGCACCAGCCGTCGGCCAATTACTATGAAAACCCACACAAACTTCTCTGCATGTAATAGTTGAGACTCACTGATGTTGCTTTTTAGTTGGGATAAACCCAGATACGATTAAGCTACATGAAGCAGTAAATCCTTGCAATGAATTGTCAGCAAATGATGGGAACAGATGTGTGGTTGGAGTAGGATGCACCGGGCTCTCTTTGCATGCTTTCTGCTGTTCAGTTGAACTCTGCACATTCACAAAACCGAGAAGCAGCTACAGAAGAAAAATAAACATCCAATCTCATCTTCTGTGTGAAATTGGACATTATGGAATAGATTCATCATTCACATCAGACAAGAAAAAAAAAAAACCCAACCTAATGGGATTGTTTTTTTTTGTTTATGCTGATTAGACACTAGAATCTAAAGAACATCACGCAGATGCAATGTGATGGATTATCAGACTGTGAACAGAGTGACAGGTTATTTCTTCAATACGGCTTCAAAAAGGCAGGGAGTTTGGGTAAGCAAATACAGATAGATCAGTGATTTGTTGGACAAAGACACTATTTTTGTACTTTTGCCCCTCTACACCACAACAACACTGTCAAGATGTGAGTGAAATACAAACTTTAATTTAACTTTAATTCCAAGGATTTTACAAAACACCTGCAGTAATTGTTTATCAATTACAGCCTTTTTTAAACATCGCTCCACAATTTCAGAGTCTCAAAACTAATTGGATAAACTAATATTATGTTTAATATAAAGAATGTTTTTAATACTTGCATGAAATTCCTTGCAGTCGGTGACTGCCTGAAGCCTAGAATCCACAGTCATCACCAAATGCTGTTTCCTCTCTTGAGTTGCTCTGCTAGACCGTTACTGCCGCCAACTTCAGCTGTTTCTTTTTTGTGGCTCTGTTTACATTCAGTTTTGTATTTAATAAATGAAATGCTGTTGTGTTGTGTTGGCATCAGGTTACTGCCTGGGCCATTGAATTTCCCATATCACATATCTGTGCTATATCTTTGAGAAACTCTTATGTTGGTTTTGCATTTTGCTTTGAGTCATGATCCTTTTTGCATCGTGCGTCCCTGTTAAACTAATTTTGGAGCATTTGTCTGAATCTGTGCAGCGAATATAGCCCTGCACCAGTGACCCCAGGTCCATTGGCAACCATACATCCTGCCATCATAACACTGCCTTCACCATGTTTGACAGATGTCGTATATGCTTCAGATCATGAGCCGTTCCTTCCCTTCTCCATACTTTTATCTGCCCATTTGGTTCATCTTGTGTCATCTGTCCAAAAGGTTTCCAGAAGCTTACAGAGCAGTGTTTTCTGGCAAAGTCTAATTTTCAAATCTTTTGTATTTCCATTCATGAAGGCATCTGTTGATTGTAGAGTTAACCCACCTCTTTGGGAGTGACCTTGACTTGGCTCTATGTTGTTGTTTTTCTTAACCTTGGAAATAATTCTGTCATCATGCACTTTCCTTGTTTTCTGACATCGTTCAGGC